GTTTTTAGGTCAAGGGTTTGGGGTTTGGGGAAGCACCCAAGAACGTTTTTATGGAATGGAGTTAACCCTAAACCCTAAACCCTAAACCCTAAACCCTACACCCGAAACCCTCGCACTCCGTATCTTCTTTCTTTGCAGATCGTGAAATCCTAATTTGGAAGCCAGACGAGCATGAGCAAGCGGAGTTAGTGTGCAATCGGGGTTCCGGGGTTTAGGGTTTAGGGCTTAGGGTTTGTCTTGCACAATGTTTGAGTGTTAGTGTGCAATCGTGCAAATGAAACGTCATATATTTGACTGTTGCTGTAGAGAAGCCACAACGAATGATTCGGTGCATTCATTCATGCCGTTCACTACCTAAACACTAAACCCTAATTAATCCCTCAACCAACAGGGTTTTCGGGAATGGGGGGCTTTCAGGTTCGTGGTGTTGGGTTGGGGTATAAGCCTTTGAATTCTTTCCGGTTTGGGGTTTGTGGTTTTGGGGTTCCGGGTCTGGAAGCTCTGGGCGTTAAGGTGGCGGGAGGGAGGGGGGGTGGGTTGGGTTCAGGGCTTTGGGGTCGGGATAGGGCTTGGGGCTGTGAAAACATGCATGAGTTTGTAAACCCTAAACCCAAAACCCCAAACCCTAAACCCGAAACCCTAAACCCTAAACCCTCAAGCCCACACCCTGAACCCTAAACCCTGGGTTAGGGCTTGGATTTTTTGGGTGTTGAGGGCTCGGCAGTGTGAGCCTGAGATTCGTTTCTATTGATTCGCACATGATACTAGTATACAAACAAGTAAGTCGTTGATCCCTTTTGGGGTTTAGGTTCCCTTAAACGCCGCCTTAAACCAAAAAGGGCACCTGTTTTATGCCTAGGTTAGACACCCTAAACCCTAAACCCTAAACCCTAAACCCGAAACCCTAAACCCTAAACCCTAAACCCTAAACCCTAGACCGTCTTGACCTCGATTGGTCTCGTTCCGCAGCCTCGCTCCTAAGATGGCTCTCTCGCCTCGCTTCCTTCGCGCTGTCGCCCCGAGAATTCCTGGGACCCTCAAAGCACAGAGTTCCTAAACCCTAAACACCTAAACCCTAAACCCTAAACCCTAAACCCTAAACCCTAGCCCTAAACCCTAAACCCTAAACCCTAAACCCTAAACCCTGCATCCCAAACCTCTCAGATCATAAGCCCAAAACCCCTGCACAACCTTGAGCCAAAAGCCCACCAGGTCGGGATCGCGAAGATTTCAGGAGTCGGCTACGTGGACGGCCAGAAGGCCCGTTTATGGTTTTGCGGGTTTTTTTAGGGTTTAGGTTTTAGTGCTCAGGGTTTGTTGTTTTTTTGGATTTTGGGGTTTGGGGCTCAGTTCAGGGCTTCCTTTTTTTGGGAACCGTCCTTAATCGGGATTCTACTAGGGGGGTACTAGAATCCCAATTAAGGACTGTTAGTATATGGGGGGGCATCCCAACCCTGCACCCGCAACCCTAAACCCAAAGCCCTAAACCCCAACAACCCTAAACCCTACACCCTACACCCTACACCCTAAACCCTAAACCCTAAACCCTAAACCCTAAACCCTAAACCCCAAACCCCAACAACCCTAAACCCTACACCCCTAAACCCTAAACCCTAAACCCTAACAACCCTAAACCCTAAACCCTAACAACCCTAAACCCTAAACCCTAAAGACCCTAAAGACCCGAAAGCCCGAAAACCCTGGTACTGGAAGTCCTAGGCCATCGAGGTCAAGCAGTTCACCTGCGCGTTGCTCAAGGAGGCCCGGGCGACCCCACCATGCAGCTTAAGGTTTGGGGTTTAGGGTTTAGGGTTTAGGGTTTAGGGTTTAGGGTTTAGGGTTTAGGGTTTAGGGTTTAGGGTTTAGGGATTCGGGTATTGGGGTGCAGGGCTTCGAGTTTAGAATTTGGAGTTTAGGGTGTTTTAGGGTTTCGGGTTTGGGGTTTGGGGTTTCGGGTTGGGGGGGTTCAGGGCTTTTCTTTGCCTGCAGCTTCGTAGTAGTCACTTTGGGGGTGGGTATAGCTTCTAACAAGTAGGGTTTAGGCCCTGGGCTACGCCATAAACCCCTAAACCCCCCCACCCACAGCCCTAATTTCCAACCCCGCCCTCGCGGCCCGCAACCCCCTCAACCTTAGACCAGAACCCTCCCGCGACTGAGAGGTTTTAGGGTTTATAGGGTTTGGGGTTTAGGGTTTAGGGTTTCGGGTTTAGGGTTTAGGGCTTGCATGAGCCAGGATGCGAAGAAGTGATCTGTGCGGGCGCGCTTGACAGTGGAGAGGAGGGGAGGCCTGGCATCGGCTGATGGACTTCTAAGGGGTTTAGGGTTTAGGGTTTAGGGTTTAGGGTTTAGGGTTTAGGGTTTAGGGTTTAGGGTTTAGGGTTTAGGGTTTAGGGTTTAGGGTTGGTGTTATCTGGGGTCAGGGCTTTTGCAGCTTGGGGTGGCGATTCGAAGCGACAGTGTTGGGTTTAGGGTTTAGGGTTTAGGGTTTAGGGTTTAGGGTTTAGGGTTTAGGGTTTAGGGTTTAGGGTTTAGGGTTTAGGGCTTAGGGTTTAGGGTTTAGGGTTTAGGGTTTAGGGCTTAAGGTTTAGGGTTTAGGGTTTAGGGTTTAGGGTTTAGGGTTTAGGGTTTGGGGGTTTAAGGGTTTAATTAGGGGGTGAGATCTGAAAGAGGGTCAGAGGCCGAAGCTTTTGGGACGCTTCGACCCTCGACCTGTCGCTCTTCTTACTTGCTACTCTCAAGGGGCTATACTTCGGATGTTGGCTCCTTAACGGGGATTCTAGTGCCTCCGATTACCCTAAACCCTAAACCCTAAAACCCTAAAACCCTAAACCACATGAGATGTTTAGCCTAAGCCTCAGCCGGCCCAGTGCGGCAATGCCCGGCCTTGGTCGGCCGCGCGTTATGACAGCGGATGGCTGGGTCTGTTCGGCGGTTTTCTTTGTCATAGTGGGGTAGCATGAGAAGAGATCCCTGGAACTGGTTCAGGGTTTAGGGTTTAGGGTTTAGGGTTTAGAGTTTAGAGTTTAGGGTTTAGGGTTTAGGGTTTTGGGTTTAGGGTTTAGGGTTTAGGGTTACATGGTTAAGGGTACTTAAACTCAATAAGGAGTAGCATCGTAAGTTTTTAATGCTATCCCAACCATGGTTTAGCAAACCTGCAACGACTGCGACTAACATGACGAGTAGAGATTCGTTGATGCATATTTATGAGTATGGTTATGACAACTCTATTTCTGGAAATTAAGAAAGTTGGGCTCATTCCTACCCACCGGGGTGCTTCCTGCACCATCTCTGACTGAGGGCTCAACTCTAGGCCACGTCCATCAATCACCTAAGCCCAAAGCCCAGAAACCCTAAACTCTAAACCCTAAACCCTAAACCCTACACCCTAAACCCTAAACCCTAAACCCTAACATCCTACGAACAGACCCAGCTTATAGCGTTCGAACGGAGCCAATGATGCTCCTTGGCTTGGTCATTCCGCGTCGAGCACCACTCCCAGCCGAGGGTTTGCCTGACATCAGTAGGCCTCCTAGCCCAACTATGAGGACGAAGGAAGTAGGGTTTAGGGTTTAGGGTTTTAGGGTTTTAGGGTTTAGGGTTTAGGGTTTAGGGTTTAGGGATGTCAGTGGCCTCCTAGCCCAACTCTGACTTGGTAGCCCAGCGGTACCCCCTACCCTTTTTTTTGGCTATGGGTTCCGATAGAAAGTAACCAACCCAAAACAGGGGGCCCTTATCATGATATGGTTACTGGGATACCAAGCTGAGGATGAAGGAACTTGGGTTTAGGGTTTGGGGTTCAGGGTTTAGGGTTCAGGGTCCAGGTTTAGGGTTTAGGGTTTAGGGTTTAGGGAAACCCCGTTCCCAAGAGCCCCCCCCGCTCCCCCCCGTCTTGAGCGATGGCCCTTAACGTGGAAAAACCTGGAGGGTGAGGTGGTAGGCTTTCGGGTTTAGGGCTTTCGGGTTCAAAGTTTAGGGTTTAGGGTTTAGGGTGTAGGGTTTAGGGTTTAGGGTTTAGGGTTTAGGGATTAGGGTTTAGGGACTAGGGTTTAGGGACTAGGGTTTAGGGACTAGGGTTTAGGGTTTAGGGTTTAGCGTCAAGTAGACCACAAGCCCTAAAGGCCCAATCCCGAGAGCCGTGGAAATCCGACTTAAAACAGTCCTTATAAACCCTAAACCCTAGAACCCTAGAACCCTAATAAAACCCTAAAACCCTAGAAACCTGAAACCCTTGAAACCCTCAAACCCTAAAACCCTAAAACCCTAAAACCCTAGAACCCCAAAACCCTAACCTTAAACCCTAAAACCCTACACCCTAAAACCCTAAACCCTAAACCCTAAACCCTAAGCCCTAAACCCTAAGCCCTAAACCCTAAACCCTAGCTCTGGGAGCATGTTCGGACGCGGGAGAGTTCTCCAGGACGCATGGCCCTTTAGCCTCCGGACTCGCAGGAAAACAAAGGCTGCCCGTAACGGTCCCAAACCTTCGGTTTAGGGTTCAGGGTTCAGGGTTTAGGGTTTAGGGTTTAGGGTTTAGGGTTTAGGGTCCTAAACCCAAAGAAGTAACCCACCCAAGGACACTAAACCCTAGGTTTGAATCCTAAACCCTGAACCCTGAACCCTGAACCCTGACTCCTGCACCCTGCACCCTGCACCCTGCACCCTGCACCCTGAACCCTGAACCCTGAACCCTGAACCCTGAACCCTGAACCCTGAACCCTGAGCCCTGAACCCTGAGCCCTGAACCCTGAACCCTGAACCCTGAACCCTACCTAAACCAGAAACAGCTCGCAGCCTTGGGGGGGCTTGGAGCATCGGGAATCCAGGGCGGAGGATGTCATGGTGTGTTCCCAGGATTTCCTGGGACTCTGCCTAGCTTGTAGGGTTTGGGGTTTAGGGTTAGGGGTTTAGGGTTTGGGGTTTAATCAGGGTTTTTAGGGTTTAGGGCTTCAGACAGCTTGACTCGATGTCCCCACCCCCGAAGAGATGTCAAAGTGGCTGAGGTCTCTGATTGTCGTGCCCTGCTCAAAAGTGATGGCCTCAGCAGCACTTCAACGCTAGGTTTAGGGGTTTGTTTAGGGTTTATTGGTAGGGTTTAGGGTTCAGAGTTTAGGGTTTAGGGTTCAGGGTTTACGGTTTAGGGTTTAGGGTTCAGGGTTTAGGGTTGGGGTTTAGGGTTTAGGGTTCAGGGGTCATGGTCCTCAAGGGAGGGAGGTTCAAGGGGGTATGTACCCCATCCGGACCCTATACTGAAAGTATTAACCCTAAACCTCAAAACCGAATCCTAAAGCCTGTCCACTGTATATATATATATATAATAGTCATAATCATAACAGTAATCACTATAATCATAAGAGTTGCAATAACAAAGATCAACAAACAAGAAGAGGGTCAAGGGTCCTGGAGTTGGGGTTTAGGGTGCAGAATTTAGGGTTTAGGGTTTAGGGTTTAGGGATTAGGGTTTAGGGTTTAGGGTTTAGGGTTCAGGGTTGAGGTTTAGGGTTTAGGTTTAGGTTTAGGGCTTTATCCTTGATGGCCTTAGTTAGAGTCTTCGGGGTTTAAAGGTCCAGGCCCTTCGGGGTCTGGAGCTTAGGGCTTCAGGGTTTAGAAACCCTAAGCCCTAAACCCTAAAAAACTAAACCCTAAACCCTACACCCTAAAACCCTAAACCCTAAACCCTAAACCCTAAACTGTAGCTCTCTAGACCCCAAGGCCTCGGCGAACCAGCGAGCAGGGCGGGCGGGGCGAGCTCCTTGCGGCATGCTTGGAACCTCTTCCGGTTCTTAGTAGGTTTGGGGGTTTAGGGTTTAGGGTTTCGGGTTTAGGGTTTGGGGTTTGGGGTTTGGGGTTTCAGGGTTTGGGGAGAAAGGGAGTGAGTTTAGGGTCTAGATCTTGGGCTGTGTAGGTCTGTCTTTTCCAGGATGAGGAGGACACTGCATCAGAGCTCCGTGTTACCCTAAACCCTAAACCCTCAACCCTCAACCCTAAAGCCTAAACCCTAGACCCTAAACCCTACAACCAGCGAGCCGCGCAACGCTCCATAGTTAGACTGCCAAGCACAGAAGGTAGGGTTCGGACCTTCTGTGCTTGAAGCTAAGGGCCTCCAACCCCCAGCATGCTTTCGCCTTTGGGGTTTTAGTTTCGTTTGGGCATAGGTAGGGTTTAGGGTTTAGGGTTTAGGGTTTAGGGTTTAGGGTTTAGGGTTTAGGGTTTAGGGTTTAGGGTTTAGGGTTTAGGGTTTAGGGTTTAGGGTTTAGGGTTTAGGGTTTAGGGTTTAGGGTTTAGGGTTTCTTGTATAAGGGGGTTGTAAGGGATGACAAGGCTTCATAAGGGCGGATAAGGGTTTCGGGTTTAGGGTTGATAGGCTTGCTGCAGGTACGTGCCTCTTTGGGCTTATTTAGCAGAAGATATCGAGCGACATCTGAAACATAGGAACAGTTGGAGAAATTGCAATACCTGAGTTTAAGGGGGAGAAATTCGTGGCTCGGGCTCGGGCTCCTCGGGTAAGAGGACTGCAGGAAGCTTTTCGGATTCAGGTGTTTAGAGCGATGTCATTCTCTGGCTTAGGTTTGCGGTCTAGGGTTTTTAGGGTCGAGTCTAGTACCCTAGCCTAGACCCCTAAAAAACCCCTAAACCCTAAATAAACCAAACCTAAGGCCTAAACCCTAAACCAACAAAAACTAAGCCGAGGGCCCCGCGACAGGTCAAGCCAGGCAAGTGCTTCAGGCTCTTCACGAAGTGGTCCTACGAACATGAGCTGGACGATGATAATGCCGCTACCTCAGACACCAAAAGTGGAAAGAACGGCTCGCCTCAACCCGAAAATCCTAGAGCCTTAAGACCTAAGAACCTGCAAGTCCTAAAACCCTACAACCTTAAGACCTGAAAACCTTCAAGTCCTAAAACCCAAAATATTAAACCCCAAGCCCTAAAACCCTCAACCCTTGCGTCGTATGGTCCCTGAGGGCCGGGTTCTGAAGAAGGAGTCCTTAACATTTAGGGTTTAGGGTTTAGGGTTTAGGGTTTAGGGTTTAGGGTTTAGGGTTTAGGGTTTAGGGTTTAGGGTTTAGGGTGGGGTTGATGATGTCCTCACGAAGAGGTGTACCTGGGATTTTCTTTGCTGCGCAACTGTCGGCAAATGGAGTTCCAGGTAGGGTTTGAGGCTTAGGACTTTTAGGGTCAGGGCTCAGGGTTTTGGATGTCGGGTCTCAAAAGGGCTCTTGCATTGGTCTTTGGGTTCAGGGTCCAAGGTTGCGGTTTAGACCCTAAACCTTGAGCAATCTTCCTGCTAAATTCCAAGCTGCCGCTCTCGCACCATAAACAAGAGGAAGGCAGATAACCGACGTTCTGGAGTTTTGGGGTTGAGAGTTCTATGCTCAATGCACGCACGCCATGTGTCTTCAGAGCTTTTGGGTTTGCCAATGGTATAGCTAAGAGGGCTAAGCACCGACCCTAAAAGTCTTAGGCTCTAAACCCTGAAAACCCTGACAATCCGTACAACCCTTTTGACGCTTATCCCCTTCAGCCCTTATAACCCTTGTAGCGCGAACAGAATCAAATCCTAAATCCTCAGCTCTTGAACCCTCAAATACTTACGCCGTAAGCCCTTACAGCCTGATGGCCTGAAGACCCTTAGAACCCTAAACCCAGAACCCTAAACCCGAAACCCTCAACCCTGAACCCGAAACCCTAAACCCTAAACCCTAAACCCTAAACCCTAAATCCTAAACCCTAAACCCTAAACCCTAAACCCCAAACCCTAAACCCGAATCATCCCAGGCGCCGGAGATCCAGCGGTCCAACCTGGGCCACGTAGTGCTGCTGCCCCAGGAGGTAGGAAGTAGGAATGTAAGGTTTTCCAAGCCCTAAGCCTCCTAACCCCTAAACCCTAAACCCTAAACCCTAAACCCTAAACCCTAAACCTCAAACCCCAAACCCTAAAGCCTAAACCACTCTTTCATCTATAGTAAGGTCATTGCAAGGTCACTACACGTCCCATGAGCTTGGACCTTGTTACGACCTTGCTATGACCTTGCCCACTCTTTTGATGACCTTGTTATGACCTGGCCCATACAAAGAGAGCGCAAGGTCATACTATCTTTGCGGGCAAAGTCAATACAAGGTCATTACAAGGTCACTACAAGGTCCCATGACCTTGTTGTGACCTTGCCTGCTTCCATGACCTTGCCCGCTGTGTCTATGGCCTTGTTCTGGCCTTTGCCCGCTCTTGAGGTCAAATCAAATCAAGAGCGGGCAAGGTCACTACAAGCCCCGGCAAGGTCGCCACAAGGTCCCCCACAAGGTCACCACAAGGCCCATCACAAGGTCACCAAAAGGCCCCCCCCCCCCCCCCAAAGTCACTACAAGGTCCCCCCCAAGGTCACCACCTTACAAGGACACCCACAAGGCAAAAAGCCCCCAAGGCCTCCCACACCTTAGGACCTAGAGTTCAGGCCTCTGCAGCCCTGAAGCCCCGTAGGCTCGAAACCCCACAAGGCCCAAATCCAAACTCCAAGCCCTGAGGCATCGACAAGAAGCCCGACTAAACAGCCCTAAGCCCCAAGAACCAGCAAGCCCTCCGAACTAAGCCCTAAGCCCTGAGCCTGAGCCCTAAGCCCTAAGCCCTAAGCCCTACTATAGGGGCCTGAAGAATTCGAATAGGGTTTTGGGGGGTTATAGCAGAATTGCAAAGGGAGCATAAGGGAATTCCGACCCCTATATTGAAGCAGGGTATATATTTCTGTCTTTGGTGAGTGTATATAAGGTTCCTTTTTAATATTGGTGAATATATGTGGTGTCCTTTTGGGGACAAGAAATATAAACCCTAAACCCTAAACCCTAAACCCTAAACCCTAAACCCATATGAAGCCCCAGGCTGATGCTCAAGTCCATTGGCATCGACGACCTGCTACACTTTGACTTTATGGACCCCCCGCCGCCAGAGACCCTCATCAAGGCAGGGTTTAGGGCTTCGGGTTTAGGGTTGAGGGTTTAGGGTTTAGGGTTTGGGTTTAGGGGTTTAGGCCTTCAGGGGCTTTGGGTTTCAGGGGTTTCTTGTTTCCCTAAACCCTAAGTCCTAGTGTTTTAGGGGTTTACCAAATTGGGGTTCAGGGTTTGTCAGGGTTCTGAGATATGGGGTCTGTCCGCCACCCACCCTGGCGCACCTAAGGGCTAAGGCTTGAGGCATTAGGGTTTAGGGCTTAGAATTTAGGATTTTGCTTTTAGGGGTTTGAACCAAAAAAACCACTCCGGTAAGGTTTGCAAGAGCTGCCCCGCTTTGGGCCTCCCATCTTCGCTTTCCGGAGCCCAAGGGCATGCCGATGAATTTAGACCATGGTCCGTCCCTTAAGCTTGAATCGCCAGTCAACCCTGCACCCATGCCGGAAAATCGCCCCATTAGGAGCCCCGTTAGGTTTAGGGTTTGGGGTTTAGGGTTTAGGGTTTAGGTTTAGGGCTTCAACCAGCAAGAAAATTGCAACCCTCAACTACATCGTCAAATCAGCCCGAACAGGCGCTGGAGCAGCTGTACGCACTCAGCGTCGGAGCCCTAGCGAGCCTCTAAACCTTGAAAAGTAATCCTCTTACATCATGGCCAACTACCCCGTAAAGTACTTGCTATTACTGTATTTAGGGTGCTTCTGGATGAGGGTGCTTGAGGCACCCAGAAATTCCCAAGACCCCTTAACTAAGGCAACTCTGCGTTCACTTTATGTAGGGTTATCATTGCGAAGCTCGGCATATTCCTCCGGCGTAGTGGGCTGTCTGGGTACAAACGTGGGGGTGGCATCAAGGCTGACAAGGTTTCAAGACCATGAGTGCCGGCACACCAACGTCAAGCCATTGTCGGCGTACCGTAAACCCTCAACCCTAAGTCAAGAGGGGTCTCGGTCTTGGGTGCCCCCCCGACTACGATGGACCGTGGTGTTTCCGGGAGATATCAAAGGTTATCCCGAAACCCTAAACCGTATACTGGGAAATTTCGATAGCAGTCTCTGGTCTCTATGACGTCTTACTCTCGGGCCCCGGACTAAACCCTGAACCACTGGATACGGGATCTAGGGTTGAGGGTTCAGGGCTTAGAGGGGTTATAGAAGGGTTCATGAGTCAAATGAGGCTCAGGACAATGCTGCTGAAGCCCTCAGTCCGCAAAATGGAAGCCTTTAGAGTCGTCCTGCTTTTGTGTGTAGAACTACTGGGTGGCCCTAAGCTGGCGTACATGCACAGAAACGTAGGTTACAAGCTATAAGCCCCCTTATGCCTGGCTAGTATACGAAGCCGGCCCTTCCCCTTATCAGGGAGTGCAGTCCATGCTTCGTCTTTGTGACCGTGGGGAGGGGGGGGACCCTAAACCCCCAAACCCTAAAGCCCTAAAACCCAAAAACCCTAAAAAAGCCCTAAAAACCTTAAAACCCTAAAAGACCTAAAACCCTAGGAACTCTAAAGCCCTGCACCCTAAACCCTGAAACTAGGAAAAGGGGGTTGCTCGTTCTGAGGCCCTCAATGACCAGGGTGACCTCACGAAGCTTGGTGGGCACCCCAATTGAGGGGAATCAGGAGGGACCCCTTAGCAGGGACCCTTAATCTTATTCCCCTATAAAACCCATATAATTAAGCTCCTATATATGTATATATATATATATATATATATCTATATGTATATATATATATATATGTATATACCTTATATAGTCCTTAGGGTTCTGGGACGATCATTTTTCGGGAGCTCGCGAGATCTTGTCCCTAAGCCCTAAGACCTAAACCCTAAGACCCGGTGCTCCCGGGCGTGCGTGACAAACATCTTGAGGGTTTAGGGTTTAGGGTTGCAGCCCTAAACCCTACTTAAGCCCTAAAACAGTAAGGCACTAAGGCTTCCATGTAACCCTATGCAAAGCTCGTCAGCCTCGGGACCCGTAGGGCTTGGGACTTGGCGTTTAGGATTTGGGGTTTAGGGTTTAGGGTTGAGGGTTTAATGGTTTAGGGTTTGGGCTTAAGATTCAGCTTGCGGGGTTTCGGATGTTGACCTCCTTGGATGTAGCAAACTGGGGGCATCGCCCAGGCTACACATTTGTCAACAGCACCAGTGTGAGCTCCTTCTATGACTGGATGAAGAACGACCAGCCTTGGCGGCCATGCTGGTGGAAGCAAGGTCATCCTAAACCCCTAAACCCCTAAACCCTAAGCCCTAAGCCCTAAACCCTAAACCCGAAACCCTAAACCCTAAGCCCTAAACCCTAAACCCTAAACCTATGAAATGCCAGCCCCATGCCATGGGCTGGCGGAACACTGGTAAGGTGGGTGAAGAGGCTTCTTGAAAGCATCTGCTTCTGCTTGATTGACGGAGGAACGCTGGAAACCTCAAGAACCGTAAACCCTCAAGCCCTGAACCCCTAACACCCTCAACCCCTGCCCTAAGACCCCTAACCCACACGCCCTTAAACCCTAAATCCCCTACACCCCTAAACCCTAAATCCAGGAACCCTGTCCCTTTTATGAATCCCCTCCAAGGTAGGCCCTTGGTATTTTTTTAAATCTTCTCTGGACCTTGTTTATCAGGGCGATCCAGAATCTCCTCCCCTGAGCCCCGTTTTCCAAAATCCCAAGCCGACGCCCAGGCCGACGTATGGCGGAGTTTCCCATGGACCCGCAGCAGTCCAAATCCCTGATCCAGGCTCCCGCTGGCCAAACACTGTATACAGACGCCAGGTCGCCCTAAAACCTAAGCCCTAAACCCTGAACCCTAAACCACTGAACCCTAAACCCTAAACCCTAAACCCTAAACCCTGACCCTGCCCATCTGGCCTCTACTGAGACCCCTACACGGGTCCTGCACCCCAAAGAAAGCCCGAGGGGGACCCTAAACCCTAAACCCTAAACCCTAAACCCTAAAACCTAAACCCTAAACCCCTGAGCTCAAAAGGGTTTGGATTTCATCGTCGAGGACCAGGCGGAGCACTTCAGCTGTGAACCCACTTGGGTTTAGGGTTTAGGGTTTAGGGTTTAGGGTTTAGGGTTTAGGGTTTAGGGTTTAGGGTTTAGGGTTTAGGGTTTAGGGTTTAGGGTTTAGGGTTAGGAAGAAAGCAGAGAACCTGGCAAGGAGCTTATGCTTGGGATAGGGTTTCAGGTTTAGGTTCATCAGCGGACTCAGTTTAACAACTCGACTCTACCTTGGATCCCCAAGGGGGTACCCTTGGGTTTGGGAGGGGCCCTTTTTCAAGATCCCTTCAAGGGAATGTAAGGGCCACCTCAGAATTTTTATGAAGGGAATTTTTGGGGACACAACATTAGGGGCACGAGTCTTACTTCCTTTGAGTTTGGGCTTGGGTGCGGCTTCTGACCCTAAACCCTAAACCCTAAACCCTAAAGCCTAAACCCTAAAGCCCTAAACCCTAAACCCTAAACCCTAAACCCTAAACCCTAAACCCTAAACCCTAAACCCTGAACCCAGGCCCTGCTCCCTCCGACCCTACTTCCTGTGCACCCGAACCAGGCTGACAAGTACAAGTGCGTGGATGAAGTGGTCACAATCTGCAGCATGCTTGGCCGGGGGCCCCAAATGCCAGCGTAAGGGTTTAGGGTTCAGGGTGTAGGGTTTAGGGTGTAGGGTTTAGGGTTTAGGGTTTATATAAGCATCATATAGGGTTTAGGGTTTAGGGTGAGGTCGTTTAAGGAATGGGCTGCCCTGGCCACGCACGTCAGTGGAGGGACTTCAGGGTTCAGGGCTTAGGGTTTAGGGTTTAGGGTTTAGGGTTCAGGGCTTAGGGTTTAGGGTTTAGGTTGGGACAAGAAGGAACTATTCGAAAGTCGCGAGCGATTGTTACCGTTCAGAGGGGTCATCCTCTAACTCGCCACAGGGAAGCAGAAGTAGATCCTCATGCAGAACTTACTACACCGAAACCCCAAAACTCTATGAACAGGGATTAGGTTAGAGGGTTTCGGGTTTAGGGTGCCCATAGGGGGGGGGGGGGGGGGCCTTCCATTAAGGGCCTGTTTTTGGTCCTTGCACTTGACGTGCTAGGGCAAGGGTGCAGGGCCAAAGACATTCCAGAGGTTCTGGTTTTTTGGGTTTTGGGTTTAGTCTAAGGTGTGCAGGGGTCCATGGGTTTGGGGTGTAGTGACCGGGGTTCAGGGGCTTATGGGTTTGGAGCCTATAGGGGTTGATAAGCTAAGATTTGTGAATTCAGAGGGCTGGCCGGTCAAAGGAGACCCTGAAGCATACCAAGGCCCAAGGCGAATGACAAGCGTTCACCGACTAACCCGAGGCCCCTTGCCCGAAACCAGAAACCCGAAACCCTAAACCCTAAACCCTAAACACCCCAACCTTAAACCTCTTGCGCTGTTCACGTGCAGAGGCGTGGATGGCGCCATCTTCTACCGGCCGAAGGACAAAGGCCAGTCACGTGGGTTGGGGTTTAGGGTTTAGGGTTTTTAGGGTTAGGGTTTAGGGTTTTTAGTTTAGGTTATAGGTTTAGGGTTTAGGGTTAGGGGTTTGGGTTTTTTAGGGTTTAGGGTTTAGGGTTTAGGGTTTAGGGTTTAGTTTAGGTTTAGGGTTTAGGGTTAGGGTTTAGGGTTTAGGGTTTAGGGTTAGGGTTATAGGGTTTAGGGTTTGGGTCTTAGGTGGGAGGGTTAATAGGGTTTTAGGGTTTTAGGTTTTAGGGTTTTAGGGTTATAGGGTTATAGGGTTATAGGGTTAAGGGTTATAGGGTTTAGGGTTTAGGTTTTTAGGGCTTAGGAATTAGGATTTCTCTGTCCTGAACCCTAACTGTTGGGGGTTAATTTACGGTTTACGCCTCATGCTTAAGGATTCAGGGTCGGGCCTTTAGGCTTCAGTTAGGGCATTTGATTTCGAAAGGATCTAGGCCTGTAGGGTTGGATGAAAAATCCTTTGGATATTTCCAGTCCTAGAGCAGGTCCCGAAACAGGGTATAGGGTTGTAGGATTCAGGGCTAAACCCTAAACCCTAAAACCCTAAACCCTAAACCCTAAACCCTAAACCCTAAACCCTACCCTAAACCCTAAACCCTACGTCCCTAAAATAAGATTCCAAAGCCCTCAACCCAAACACATGCGAGCTCCGAGCATGGAGCGCCACACCCCAGGTGCTAGTCTCCCCCCCCTCCCCCCCTCCCTGCCCCAAAACTTTGTGGGGTTTAGGGTTTAGGGTTTAGGGTTTAGGGTATACTTGGGCCTTAAAGGGTACGTAGCTTTAGGGCCCAAGTAGATACCATGTAGGCACATGGACCCTCAGAGGGGGGGGGGGGGGTTGGGTGTAATACAGGGGTCGGCATGATTACTAATCATATTCCCTTATTGTCCCTTTGTACTATAATAACCCCCAAAACCCTATTCAAATTCTTACCCTAAACCCTAAACCCTAAACCCTAAACCCTAAATCCTGTATTGGGGCCCTGTGCGCTGAAAAGGCATCCACGCGGACAACGCCCGGAAGAATTTCCACAAGCCGGGGGGCGACCACATGACCATGCTGCACGTGTACAAGCAGCGGCTTTGATGCGCTTGGTTTGGGGGTGTGCTTGGAGGTTCATGGGGTTTAGGGTTTAGGGTTTGGGGTTTGGGGTTTAGGGTTTAGGGTTTAGGGTTTAGGGTTTAGGGTTTAGGGTTTAGGGTTTAGGGTAAACTTGGAGGATCGACCCGCTTATAAGCCCCTTAAGTGCCCTAATCAATATGGTCATAAGTACAGTTAGAAGTCCAGTTATACTTGGTTAATAAGTACCATGAACCTCCCAGTAAGGCTTGCAGGTCTCAAGTTCAAGGTTGGGATGTTCCCCCTTATCCTAACAGTCCTGAATAGGGATTATAGTACCCCCCCCCCCCCTCCTATTAAGGGCTGTTAGTATAGGGGGGAACATCCCAGGTTAAGGGTTTAGGCTTTGAGCATTTAGGGCTTTAGGATCAAGCTCAAGTTTTCAAGGCTTTGGGGGGTTTTGGTGGGACTGGCTCCTCACATGTAATGCATGCCCGAGATCCTACACGACTTCCCCCATCCTAAGGACCTACTACCCACAACGAATCCCAAGATATCTACGCAAGGCTCTATTTCATGTATCATCGAGCCCGGTGTAGAACCTACACCACACACCGTGGTTAAGCCTTATCGTAGGGAGTTAGGAGTGTTTTTTTGGGGCATCTTCAGCCATTCATCGGCGGGAGCGCATGTCTTTCCAGCCCACCAAAGCAGTAAACCCAAAACTTAAAACCCAAAACCCTAAACCGCAGACCCTAAACCCTAAACCCTAAGCCATAAGCCCTAAACCCGTTTTCTAGCGCCCAATCCGAAGGTGGGAGGAGACTGGCTACTCCCTGAACTGGTGCATGGAGAACTACCTGCAGAACAGGCCAACGGATGCAGAAGGGTTTAAGTTCAGGGTTTGGGGTTTAGGGTTTGCGGTTTAATCCTAGCAACCCTAAACCCTAAACCCTCAACCCTAAACGTTAGGCGTTTAGGGTTTCGGGTTTACAGCGTGGTCGGGCACGCACCCCGGAGCCATAAAGCACCAGCCAGGATATCTAGGTGGCGCGTGAGATCACCAATTGTGTTTAGGGCTTATAAGGAGCAAATAAGGGGTGCAGGGTGTAGAGGGTTGAGGGATTGTTTAGGGTTGAGATTTACTTTGTTAGGGTTCAGGGTTAAGGATTTAAGGCTTTAGGATTTTAAACCCTAACCCCTAAACCCTAACCCCTAAGCCCCTGAACCCCTAACCCCTAAAACCCTGACCCTAAACCCTAAACCCTGAGATTTAAGGCGTAGCACGAAGGTCATCATCAAGCCCCGCAAGCCGCTGGCGAGGTCGCTGAAGCGCGCGCGAGATATCCGCGAGCAGCTGGTGGACATGCTGGAGAAGGTGCTGGGGCTTAGGGTTTAGGGTTTAGGGTTTAGGGTTTAGGGTTTAGGGTTTAGGGTTTAGGGTTTAGGGTTTAGGGTTTAGGGTTTAGGGTTTAGGGTTTAGGGTTTAGGGTTTAGGGTTTAGGGTTTAGGGTTTAGGGTTTAGGGTTTAGTCGTCCTCTTCCTTCGTCATGTTCTTCCATCCTTCCGTCATTTGGTGTGCAGGCAATTACCCTTGTCTTTTCCCTCTTTGATTAGCTTAGGTTACTATACACGAATCATTCGGGGCCCAAACCCTAAACCCTGAAACCCTTTCTTTTTAGGGCGTAAAGCGGTTCAATGCGGCTGCGGGGGCCGGGATGCACAATGCGTCTTCTTGTGTAATAGTTTGCAATAGGATACCTGCTACAACAATTCACCAGCCACGGTTTAGGGTTTAGGGTTTAGGGTTTCGGGTTTAGGGTTTAGGGTTTAGGGTCTAGGGTCTAGGGTTTAGGGTTTAGGGTTTAGGGTTTAGTTGGCTTCCTGATGTCTCTTCTGCCAAGCGCGTGCCGCGCATCGGGTAGTTCTCTAAGTTGCCGACTTATCGGGCCCTGCTTGCAAGGGTGCCGTGCAATACATGGGCCAAAAAAGGGGACCCTAATTTAAAGAACTAAGTAATTACCCTAGTAGTAGTGCGTTCCTGTTTCTAGGCTGTCAGTAAGGAACTGACCCCAGACCGCAAAAATGGAAGCCCAAGCCCGAAACTCTCAACCCTGATCTCTAAACCCCTAGACCCTGAACCCTAACACCCTAGAACCCTAAACCCTAAACCCTAAACCCTAAACCCTAAACCCTAAACCCTAAACCCTAAACCCTAAACCCTAAACCCTAAACCCTAAACCCTAAACCCCAACCCCTAAACCCTAAACCCTATAACCTAACTACTTAGACCCTAAAGCCCTAAAACCCTGAACCCTCGCGGCGTCAGGTGGAGATCGAGCATTCATCCAACGTCAATGACCTTGACGGCCCCCTAGCTGCTTTACGGCCTCATAGGAGGACAATCATCGAAATCCCCCCAAAACCCTCAACCCAGTCAGCATTTTTTGCCTCGGTTTAGGCGGGTTTCGGGGTGTAGGGGTTTAGGCTTAGGGTTTAGGGTTTAGGGTTTACGGGCTTAGGGGAACATCTCAAATAATGCCAAGCCGAGCACAGCAAGAAGCCGGCCCCTAAATCCGGGTTCAGGGTTTAGGGTAAAGGGTTTAGGGTTTGGGCTGCAGGGTTTAGGGTTTATGTGATTCAGGTTTTCGGGCTTAGGGCAACTGGCAATGCACCACACAAAAGGCCAGCGGAAGTCCATTCTCTCCGGCTTCTTCTACAACACTGCGCGCCTGCGCAAGGATGGGCAGGAGCCCCGAGCATTTGTCTTCCCAAGGGACTAAAGCAGGGATGCTTAAAGGGACCTTAGGGGGTAATTTCGGGGCTGCTTAAGGCCTAGGTATATATGGACTATATAAGGTGTAGAAATAGGGGTTATAGACTCTGATTTAGATTGGGATGTTCATCCTTATACTAGCAGTCCTTAGTACGTATGTATTAAAGTACCCCCCCCCCCCCTATCATAATCCCGATTAAGGACTGTTAGTACACGGGGAACATTCCAACATCTAGATTTGGTGCGCATGTTGCGGAACACTAACCCTAAAGCCCTAAAGCCCGAAAGCCCTAAAGCCTAAATCCTAAACCCTAAACCCTCAACCCTAAACCCTAAACCCTAATTAAATCCTAAACCCTAAACCCTAAACCCTAACCCCCTGAACCCTGATCCTGAACCTGAAACCAAGGTCGTACGTCACGGTGAAGCATCCGCACACCGCCACCTCCTCAGACCTGCGTGCGCTTTGGGCGTCGGATCCCTGCTCGTGGGCCCTTGTTCCCTTTTGCGAACGGTTTTAGGGTTCAGGGTTCAGGGTTTAGGGTTGAAAAGTTTAGGGTTTAGGGTTGCCTGTCTTTATCCTTAGAACGCAGCGCTGGTAGCTGTACATTCCTGGGCTACTCTGGGACCGGGGGCCCAGGGTAGTTTCAGGGTTTAGGGTTTAGGGTTTAGGGTTTAGGGTTTAGGGTTTAGGGTTTAGGGTTTAGGGCGCAGGGTCTCGTGCGTAAGACCACAGACCCTCATGTAATTACAAATTGTAGAGATTTATAAGGAGAGGTCAGCATGGTTCTTCGGATTCTTGGGCTGCCAGGACTCCCCTAGCGCGAATCCCCAAACCCACAAACCCCTAAACCCTAAACCCTAAACGCTAAACCCTAAACCCTAAACCCTAAACCCTAAACCCTAAACCCTAAACCCTAAACCCTAAACCCTAAACCACCCTAAACCCTAAACCCCGAGCATGAAAGTTGCCTTTGGGGGTGTTTTGAGCCTTGCGCAAGTTCCAAGCACACTCTACACGGTTCCCTGAACATGGTAGCCTGGCCCCGGGTTGCCCTAAAGGGGGTTCCTGAGAAGGGTTCCCAAACCCACGAGGGCCTCAACCGCAACCTGTAAAAACCCTCGACAACGCCTGATCTACTAAATTGCTTAAGAACCCCCCCCCCCAAAAAAAAAAAAAAATCAAAAAAAAAGTATATATATATATATATATTTATTTATTTAAATATTTATTTATTTGTTTATTTATTTATATAAGTACCCCTTCAGAAAATAGTAGTTATGGGACCTACAGTTGAAAAGGGGGCCCGGAGGTCGAGCTTCTTGGTTGGGGTTTAGGGTTTTGGTCTAGGGCTGAGGGTCAAACCCCCTCCTTCCCCCCCCCCCCCCTCCCCAAACCCTAAACCCTAAACCCTAAACCCCAAACCCTAAACCCCAAACCCTAAACCCTAAACCCTAAACCGTCACCGCGAAGGTAGAGATCCATCCCACCTCCTGCCTCTTCGGCCAGCAGCCGAAGCTTGCTGGGGGCCCTGCAGCCTTCAGGGTTGAGGGGTTTGTTTAGGGTAGTTGAGGGTTTAAGGTTCAGGGTTTAGGGTTTAGGGTTTAGGGTTTAGGGTTTAGGGTTTAGGGTTTAGGGTTTAGGGTTAGTTTAGGGTTTAGGGCTTCGGGTACGCAACCCCCCAAAACCCTAAAGAGCCAAATCCGGTTTGGTGGCGGCACTGCTTTACGTGCCATGAGAGCACACATTGCCCTGAACCAAAAACCCTAGACCCTATACCCTAAACCCTACACCCTAAACCCTAAACCCTAAACCCCTCGTCTGCAGTCCATGTCCGAGGAGGAAAGCTTGTGTAGGCCTCGCGGTTGAGGACCTAACAAGAATTCTAACCCTGCCAGTGCAGCTTGTGTCACTCATACCCCTGAGGTTGTACCCCTGTGTGGGTTTCCCTTAAAGGTATTCTTAACATGTCCCGTATACTTTGGGGATCTGAAAAACAGGGCCTCCAAACCCAAGGATACCACCTTCGGGGTCCAAGGAAAAGTCCCATGATGCCCGGTCCAGTCGGTACTTCCCCCAACAGGCCTGGAACCTGAGCCTTAGCCCCGCCGTTACCTGCAAGTGAAACCCCAAACCCTAAATCTTAAGCCCTAAGCCCTAAGCCCTAAGCCCTAAGCCCTAAGCCCTAAACCCTAAACCCTAAACCCTCGTTGAATTGTGGATGAGAGTAGTGCTGGCGAGGTGCATGGA